GGCCTCCAACCTACTAGTGATGTCCTCCAACCTAGTAGCGATGGCCTTCAAACTAGTAGGGATGGCCTCCAACCTAATAGCACTTGGTGTTTGGTTCCGGTTACTTTTTTGGTTATGTTGACCTGAGGTGTTTTACCTGTTCCTATCCCAACTGTCGGTTTTAGTCGCTTTTAGTCAGTGGCAGTTGTATTTGATGATTGCAAGGTTTGCAACCTTGTGTCACTCGCTTTTTCCGAACTACCGAGCTTCGACCCGGAACAGTATTCTCATCTCTCTTATAGTACATTAGCTACTAATAGCGATGCCAGGAGCCCCTAGTAGCGTCCTTGCTCCTAGTAGTAAGGCCAGAAGCCCTTAGTTGCTTCTTGCTCCTATAGATCGTAGATAGATTGTTTCAGATCTTGTGATGATTTTTGTAGCAGGAACTTGGTGAGTTTGCGGAGGAGGCAGCAGACGCTGTTGATCACGACCAAGATTCCAAGGAGGAGGCGTGTTCTGTAACTACCGTAGGGTGTGTTGACTCAAGGTTTCTGTCAAGCCTCTGGTTGGACACAAAACCAACTAAATGCGGAACGTCGCGATAAATTTGTTCAACAATTTTTGCCGCATTTTGTCCTATTTAGAAACACCAGACTTAGCGCATCACTTTCCTCGCTTTCTTTCTGTTCTGTAGGGCCTAACAGGTCTCAGGTGTTTAATGCAATTCCTAAGTATTTTTTGGAAAACAAGAACATATAGTATAAGGCAATACTTTTGTTTTTCTAGTAGCCATGGCCTCCACCTAGTAGCGATGGCCTCCACTAGGTAATTTCAAGTTTTCACAGTCAGTCGCAGTGTGACATCATTTCGTCCTGAACAGCTGCTTTGCGCGCAGGCTTTAACTGCGCTGGAACGACAGGTTCGGAAACAAGACGAAACGAGATCAATGCCGAATGGTCATGGATTTGGGAGGTGTTGACCCAAAACGAGAGCAAACTTTAGGGGTTGGGTGTTTCCAGCTCCCGGAATGTGTTTCTGGTTCCTGGAATCGGTTTTTGGGTTCCCGCCGGGTATTTCCAGTTCCCAGCGGTGTTTTGGGTTCCCATCCTGAGGTCCTTTACCGAGTGGTCGTCCGCGGCCTTTTGCGTGAAACCGTGAACACAAAACTCACACCCAGGTGCTAATAAGTTAGGTACATATATAAGAGTTTGAATATAGTCTTTATATACATATATACAGCGTTGGTGGTTTGCTGGTTGCTTGCTCGGTTGCATGTCCCCAATTCAAAAGCGGGAGCGGGGGAGGACAAAGCGCCAGATGTGGTTTGCTGGTTGCTTGCTCGGTTGCATGTCCCCAATTCAAAAGCGGGAGGGGGGTGCGGGGGAGGACAAAGCGCCAGATGTGGTTTGCTGGTTGCTTGCTCGGTTGCATGGTCCAGATGAAAAGCGGGAGGGGGGTGCGGGGGAGGGCGCAGCGCCCCCCCTGCAATGCAAACAAAGTCTAGACAGCAGCTTTGTCCTTGCGACGCAGGTTTTTCTAGGGGATCATTCTGGCTTGCTGTCTATCGCAGCTTGCAAAACAGTTTTTTCTCAGGGATCACTGTGGCAGGCTTGTTGCTTGCAGCTTTGGTGGTTCCGCAGGGGTTGACCTCAGACACCAGATGTGGTTTGCTGGTTGCTTGCTCGGTTGCACGGTCCAAATTAAACAGCGGGAGGGGGTGTGGGGGAGGGCGCAGCGCCTCCCCCGCAATGCAAGCAAAGTCTAGACAGCAGCTTTGTTCCTGCAAGGCAGGTTTTTCTAAGGGATCACTGTGGTTTGCTTTTTGCTTGCAACTTTGGTGGTTGTGCCCGGGGTGGACCTGAGAGACCAGATGCGGTTTTCTGGTTGCTTGCTTGGTTGCATGGTCCAATTTGAGAAGCGGGAGGGGGGTGCGGGGGAGGGCGCAGCGCCTCCCCTGCAATGCAAACAAGGTCTAGACAGCAGCTTTGTCCTTGCAACGCAGGTTTTTCTAGGGGATCGTTCTGGCTTGCTGTCTATCGCAGCTTGCAAACCATTTTTTCTCAGGGATCACTGTGGCAGGCTTGTTGCTTGCAGCTTTGGTGGTTCCGCAGGGGTTGACCTCAGACACCAGATGTGGTTTGCTGGTTGCTTGCTCGGCTGCATGGTCCAAATTGAACAGCGGGAGGCAAACAAAGTCCAGACAGAAGCTTTGTTCCTGCAAGGCAGCTTGTTCTAAGGGATCGCTGTGGTTTGCTTTTTGCTCTCAGGTGTGCTCCCTTCCTTGACCGGCGTTTTGAGAATCCGCTGGTGTGCTGAAAAGATCCGCTGCCGCGATCAGACCTTACAACCAACACTGTTTCTACGTCAGCTCGTTGTTACACTTTTCTGTGACACTGTCTTCGTATTTCTTGTATATCTCCGCATACAGTTTCGCAAAGCCACCGATACCATCAATTTCCACTGCTCTTGTTTTCTGCTTTTCTGTTTCATATCGAAGCTGACCCGTTCGTTGCACTGCAACGTCTCGAATGCTCCACCGTGCGTTCTGCCGCGTCACAACGTTACAAGTGGTGCAGCCGACCGTGTTGTCGCCGGCGGGAACCAAAAACACCTTTTCTCTATATTTCTCCTGCGGGAACCAAAAACGCCTTTCCAGGTGCCGGAAACATTCCCGGCCACCAGAAACACCATTCCAGCCGCTGAAAACACCTAAGCGGGAACCACAAAACCTCCCAAGCGGGAACCGGAAACACCGCCCGACGTGCGGGAACCAAAAAACCAAATCCAGGAAAAGAAGCACCACGGGAACCAGAAACACCATTCCGGGAACCGGAAACCCGGAACCCAAACTTTAGCTTGCTTTCATAATGCTTGCCATTCCTTATTATGGGTTCTGGATCGGTCAACGTCGATTCTCAGTTGCTCCAAGTGATGAGGTGAACATGCTGGAGGATAGCGCGCATATTCGTCCAGCATCCAAAAACAGCCATCAAGGCCGGGAAGTTGGACAACCCAAACGCTGAACAATATGTGAGTCCTCAAACTCTCGCGTGTACTAGGCGCGAGATTTTTTTCATTTTTCAGTCTTTGCCAGAAATGTAATACGACGTGAGCCCTGTCGTTCTGCGCGGTGCTGTAGATGGAGCGACCAACGGCGTCATTCGTCATTGGTAGGTGATGAGAGGTCAGACGTCAGTGTCCCTCCTGGAGTCCCTCACGAGCCTTCAGAGTTAGAGATTGAGATCGTGGCCCATCAGGCGTGGGAAGTGAGACGTGTAGCATCGTGCACCCCTGAAACATTCTCAAAGGAACTGACCCTCGCCGTGCCTGCCTTGCTGTACCATGTTCTTTTCAAACAGTGATTGATTGAGCCCTTTTGCATGATCCTGAGTAAGTGGTTTGGTTTATTAAGGTTTAAAGAGCGGGTTGGTTTTCTTCACCTTTCGATCCGGAATCTGAAGAATGACTTTGTTGGTTCTTCTCCCGAGTCAACCTGTTTGCTGCATCATCAGGATCATGGAGAGCATGAAGGGCATGCAACTCGTCATCCAGGCTGGGCAGCGGCAATGGCAATGGATGAAATCATATGAAATCTATCCAAGACCAGGTCGCATGATGTCGATTGTGGATTTATGGTTGAAAGCTATCACCAAAAGAGGTTTCATCGATCCTCGCGCAAGAAGAAACCAAAGGAGGGTTCCTTCCCTCGACTTTCGATAAAACGGCTTGGCATTTTTGTTGTCATATAGTTTTCACGTTTTCATATGTCCATTTCAGATGGTGACCACTTAGATCCACAGTCCACTTGGTGTCTCCATTTTTGTCGCGCCGCAGTTTGCTTACGCTGTGTGGGAAGCGTTGGAAGAGAGGAGGGTATGGGGTGTTTGCCACTCAAAGCGGAAGGAGAGGGATTGTTGAAGGCCATCGATATTAGCTAGAAGTTTCTTTTTTTTGTACTAGGAGCAAAGGGCATCGCTACTAGGAGCACGGACGCTACTAGGGGCTCCTGGCCTTACTACTAGGAGCAATGTTCGCTACTAGGAACAATGGGCATCGCTACGAACGGAGCAAGGTGAGCCGCTTTTGCCCGTCCTTCGGGACGTCGCCATTGACCTTGACAGGCCGAAACTCAGAACATCACAACTCTGGTGCACTGGAACGGCGCCGGCCACACGAGCTCAACTCGGATGCGGGAAACTAAGTTGAAGTTTCTATTAGCGGCCTCCAACATAACAGCAATGGCCTCCAGACTAGTAGCGATGGCCTCCTCCTTAAAGGATCTTTGTTGGAGATGCAAGCCTCAGATGTCGTGAAACCTTGCCACAGAAGCCAAGTTGAATGGGCTGGGTAGGTATCGTAGCTGTTGTAGCCACCACTTTGCTGTTGGGGTTGTGAGAAAGACCAAAATTGCGGGCATTCAAGTATGTCGATTGGCCAGGATTCTGAGACTGAGACCGATGATGTCCAACAGGCTGATCTCTGCCGAAACCGTCCACAGTGTTCTGTATGGCGGCTAGGGCTTCACAACATGTGCTCCAGCTATTCTCCAACTTCTGTCCTTGAACAGAACGTTTGACAAACCTTGTATTTTGCCATATTTTGCAATTCGCGCGCGTGCAGAATGAAGAATGACCTCGACAAAACTGCCATGATTTGCCATGAATGTACCACAACCATGTATTGCAAACGAAGCGCTGGAGGATGATGACGCTGATGCTTTCCGCAGGCCAGTTGTTCGATGCTGTTCATTGGTTGTAATTTCAGATCGAGCGGTTTAACTGGCCTTTGCAAGTCCTCAACTGAGTCTTACTGCGCATACGCTGCGACTACGCAGTGCCACTGAGTCTGGGGGCTTTAGATGGCCAATGCCGGCCAGGACAAAGATGGCCAAGGCCATGATGAAGTTGAACATGACGAGCGACATTCGAAAGGCGACGAAAACGCGTTCGTCCGGTCGGTCTGCTTTGGTCACGGATTTGACGACCTGGTCCAACTTTGTCACGAGCATCCCATGAGGCAGCTCAAGATGTGCGAGAGGAAGCACGAAAGGCGGCGCTGGAGGCACAGAGGAAACTTCCCTCTCTTTGTGGCATTTTTGTTCATCGTTCTCACACAAAATCTTGACTTTGAAACCAGTTTAAAGCTATTTCTTTCGACAGTTTGATTTTTCTTTTGCCTTGTCTCAGATCAGCCAGCAGCCAATCGAGACGCCGAAGCTCTCTGTGGCAGAGCAGCTGGGCAAGAATCGGGTGCTCTCTCTTCCCAATGGCCCGTTTCAATCGAAAAGCTTCACAGCCGAGTGACATGCATACCAGGCCATTAATTCAATTTCAATCAATTTCAAAAGTAAGGACACAATGCACGAATGTGGAATAGTAGTGCCTGAGGCTTCAGGTATCGAAGGGCCCGAAAAGGACAAAACTATTTTTGATCAGATCACTGAGTACATTTTCTCTTTGAGACCGCAAGAGAAGGGAAGATCTTTTTTAATGTAAGGTATGCAATCAACCTTGCGAAAGCTGCTGACGTGCCACTCGAAGAGGCGGAGAGGCCGCGATTCCCGAGAGTCACAAAACCGACAAGCAAATGTCAGACATTTCACAAGTATCTTCTAAGAGCGATCTCCCTAATAGCGATGGCCTCCAACCTACTAGCGATGACCTCCAACCTACTAGGGATGGCCTCGAACCTACTAGCGATGGCCTCGAACCTACTACTAGTGATGGCCTCCAGCCTAAGAGCGATGGGCTGCAACCTAAGAGGGATGACCTCCAACCTAAGAGCGATGGCCTCCAACCTAAGAGGTATGACCTCCAACCTAAGAGCGATGGCCTCCAACCTAAGAGCGATGGCCTCCAACCTACGGCCTCCAACCTAGTAGCGATGGCCTCCAACCTACTAGCGATGCCCTCCAACCTACTAGCGATGGCCTCCAACCTAATAGACATGGCCTCGAACCTAGTAGCGATGGCCTCCAAGCTTCTAGTGATGGCCTCCAACCTAATAGCCATGGCCTCGAACTTAGTAGCGATGGCCTCCAACCTACTAGTTAGGGCCTCCAACCTAAGAGCCATGGCCTCCAACCTAAGAGCGATGGCCTCCAACCTACTAGCGAGGGCCTCCAACCTACTAGTGATGGCCTCCAACCTACTAGCGATGGCCTCCAACCTAAGCGCCAGGTCTCCAACCTAAGCGCATTTTTTCCATTTACAAGTCGGATTCTATTGCATTCCAAAGTGAGAATGTATGTCGCTCCTTGATCCGAGGATACCTTGCCATTTTGCATCCGTTATTTTGCTGAGGCTGGTTGAGATGATGAGGCTGTTGAGCATGTTGAGCGAACGATTTCTGCCGACTCTGGGCTTAATTGGGTGTTTGCTTAGAAGGATTCGACCTCCATGAAGAATCTGCGAAACATTCCCCCCCAATTCCTGTCCGACTGGCTGGAGATTGAGAAAGTAACGCTTCTGGAGTTGCGAGGTTTGTTTATCAGACGCTTCTGGACATGCTGTCTTTGCCACTTGGTGAACCTGGGCTGCAGAACCGACCACCTCAGCTGCTTTCATGCTGTAGAGATTTCCATTCCCAAGCCCTTACGCCTTACGGCTGACTATGCTGCTTTTGGAGGCAGGACGAGGCAGTGCCGAAAACTTCTTCTTTCCTTCATTCGTTTCACTTAGTTTGTGACTGCCACAATCTGCCACACACATATACACACACAAACACCCTCTTTTGACCATCCGGGTGCAAGTGTGGGAGATGTCTCTCTCTCTCTCTATATGTATACAACCACAGTCTGGGTATGAAGCCTAGCTCTCCCCTGTGCTCTATTGCACATAAGGTTGCACCAGAACATCCATTTCTTCTCACCAATGTGTCAGACACCGAAGTTGTTTGCAGTCAAGGACCAACAGCTGGCGCTCAAGATGCTCTCTTTGGGTCATGTGGATGCTGCTTCACCCATGCGCCTTCTGGAAGCGATCGTTGGTGAATCGGTTTGGCTTCAACCACCAGGGGGGTCCTCTAAACGTTCGACCACTCGATTTCCGTTGGTTTGAGAAGGAGTCATGAAGTTATCTCCTCGACTGTTATCTCCTCGACAGGTGCTTCATGAATGATCTCCACCATTCTCCACCCAGTTGATGTGAGCAAAATAATACTGTAGGTGCGCCCGTTGTATTGTTGGTTTGTTCTTATGTATTTATAGCCCTTCTGGCTTCTCTCGTCGGCAAGTTGGACCCTGTCACTTCGCAGTCTCCCCACCCCGCCGAAAGCAACTGCCGTGACTGGGAGTGTGACTTGGTGAACACTAGAGTGTAAGTTCTGCCAGGTGAGTTCAAGCATCATGAAGCAGGTAGGCTTGAACGTGTTGGACCAAACAATACAAAACAATAAAAGGCACAAAAAGTCAACTGAAGCAAGAGCCGATCTACGTGACCGCGAAGATGCCTGAGTGTGGGGGGGGTGGTGGGGTGGTGGGAAGGATGAACCCAGAGCCTGCTGGGGCAGAGCGAAAAAGAACTGCGTAGCCAAAACATACCCCTGCGACCGCCCTGATGATGCGAGTGATGCCACAGCAGCTCCGACTAGCATCTTTTGCATCATCAACTGGCCATGGCAGCGTTTTCTTTGGAGTGCTGTGGCAAAATTTGTCGGTTTGAGTTTGAGTTTATGCATTTCTCGTGTTTGCTGGTTGAGTGAAGCCATGCAGGAAAGAGGCTGCGGTATCGTAGATAGCGGTGTTTTTGTAGGGTGAGGTGGTCAAAAGTGCGCGCAGAGCGGTGCTTTGTGGAGTTCGATGAACAGTAGCGTAATATACGGTACTTTTGGACGCACAAGTTGGTGAAGCTGCGTGTTTTTGGGCGGCTTGTGCACGTGGGGGCTTTGGCTGCTGCTTGAGATGAATGTCGATGCAGGTATGGAAAGACATGTGATTTACAGAGAGTCGAAGATTCTTGGTTGGTGCCCCCGCAAATTGATCGAAGGGCCGTCTCGGGGCAACCTCTGAAAAAGTTCTAGCACCAAAATTTTCAAGAAAAGGGCTTGAGGATGAGTTGTTAGTTTTTGTTGGTGCCCATTTGTGCCTTGATTGCACCTTCGAAGAGCTGGTTCTGGCGATAAGACCCTTGACAAAGGAAGATGCGGCAGATGATGCATTTTCAAACATTTAAGTTCATCTTGCGAACGAAGTGGGTATTATCAGGGGGTCTGTGCTGGAGTGTGAGAGACTTTCACATCGCTTCTTGCAGCTTGGGTGACGTGGCTCTAGGTGTTTACTTCTCAGGCGCTTTCCGATTTTATTCGTGCTAGTCATTCCAGAGCCCACCAGTCGTGAGTCAGCCCACTTCAACAGGCCAAGACAACACTCAGAGAAACAGTAGTCATTGGGGTCTTTGTGATCCTTCGGGGTGGTGCAGTTCCTGGATGGGACACGTTCCACCACATGCCGGGAAGGTAGGTCTTTCATATTCTTGGGCACTGGAAACCCTCAGCATCAAATGCACGATGCTCCACTAAGTGATGAATAACACCACCCCATTTGGATGCGCTCACTTGTGGTTCAACGCTCCCACTAACTACCCCTTACTCACAGGTGGAGTGGGTGTGGTGGGCATGGCTAGGTCAAGTGTGACACGTACGGAAAAACCAACACCTTTGTACACAAGTGAAACAAGCACAAGCTACGAATGCAAATATGGGCAAAGCACACCCCATTTGGATTGTAAAAACCTCTCGAAGGCATCTAAGGCCGGTGCTGACGAAAAGGTTCCTACCATTCAAGTATGGTTGCTTGAAAGAGGACTAGTTTTTGGCGCCAATCATGAAATCATTGCCCACCAAATGTGAGCCCAAATTCACCAAGAGTTGCAAGTATGGTCAAACTTGAACCCCGAAGTGCCGTAAGTATTAGCTAAGTGGATCCATACTCACAAAGTGCAAGTGCCAGAAAACCCTAGACGACCAAGAAATATAAACACTCCACTACAAATACATAGCAAAATACAATAAGTTTCAAACCATATTACTTCACCCAACTATTTTTGGAGCGGATTAATTAACAATCCTGGCACAGGAACACTCGCTTGAAACGGGTGCCTTGCTGCGTTGCTGCATGGGTGCATGCGTCATCTCGCATGCATTGCATGCTGCATCGTGTGATCAACCAAGGCTCGAAAGGCGACGGCATCTCAACTGCGCTTCAGATTTGATCGGATTTTCCCGACGACCTTCTTCTGTGGACAGGAACCACGACTGCATCGCTACGCCGAGAAAAGCCTAGGTTTCTAGAACAGCCTAGGTTTCAAACACCAGAACTACGACTCAAAGGCGGATGTGCCTTTGAACTTGTTCGGTTGTGTGGCCTTCCTTTCCTGACTCCGCTTGCAGTCTAGTGCTGTATGAAAATCCTTTCGCTCGCGACATGTTTCTATGGCTTTGATGTAAATAGATGATGGACAGGCCCCAATGTGATACCCGCGTCGTAGCTGTTCAGTTCCACGTGTGCCTCGACTAAGGTGCCAAGAGCCTCGGGATTGCCAGCCTTTTAGCAACTCAAATTTTGGCAGGGATGCTTGGGACTGTCTTGAATTTCCAAAAAGAACATTCCCCGTAAGTTGCAGCACCTTGGTTGTAGAAGTATCCTCTCAAGAGTACTTCTAAGACAAGATAGAGAACTGCTCTTGCACACTGCTGCGCAAAACCTTCTTCCATGATCTTTGAAACACGGAGAGTAGACGTTCCGATTGTTTTGGTGGGACAGTTGTGTGACCACACAAACACCGAAATGAACGCCACTGAGGCCATGAAAGAAGAAGCCGGTCTATGGGATGAATGCAACCTCCAGGCAAAAGTGACTCGTGCTTCATTTTTAAACTTTTTTAACATTCCACCAGTGCCATGCAAAGACCACAGAGAAAGACTGAATGAACAGTGAACTGCTCGCTTTTTGATGCCATCGGGCTCCGACCTTGCGCCAGAACGCCTTCTTACAAAATTTGGAGAAGGACCAGGCTACCGTGGCTACCGGCCATGACTTGGAGTTGAAGTGTGGAAAGTGCCAACCGCATCAGCCGTCTATGTATGACTCGAACAATGACCTGAGATAGTAGTATCCGCCAGCGAATTGTTACAGTAGGGGAGTATGAACGAAACCAGAGAAAATGATATTGCGATTCCCTGTGCCATTTCAAACTGTCCGATTCACAGGATTCTTCCACTTTCACTGGATCTGTAGGAAGGGGAAGCGCCAAGATTTCTTGACGAAACGGCAGGACACTGAAAGACACGGTGACCTCGAGGTACCGGAGGCTGGGGGCAAGTGACCACGGAGGGTGCGACCACAGATGACCACAGGAATGACAGGACATGGATGGACATGGAGTTTCAATGTGAGTTTGCACCGGAACGATGTGATTTTGTCACCACTCATAATCCATGAAGCCAAGCTGTACACAGCAGGAGAAATAGAGATTTTGACATTGCTTGCCCGACCTACAGTGACCCTCAGGATCATTTGAAAAGGCCGACTGAGAAAAGAGAACAAACAACATGCTTTTGCCTGACAGACTTCTCCGCTCCGTCTCCAGGTGCCAGAAGACGATGCCGCTTGGAAACGCTTTGGACGGGCCTAGAAAATAACAAACAAGAACAATAAGTTAAGAAACACATCACAAAACCGTTGTCTTTATTTTTGAAGAGCATTTCGGACGCTTGCGGACCGCTGAGGATCATGGTAAGTTCCAGCGGGTTGCGCGGGGTGCGCAGCCTTCCATTAGAGAGCAGAAGAGACAAGCGGATCAGGCGGCAGGGGACCCCAGAGACACGGTTTTCATTGGTTTTCATGCCGAGTTTTGAAAGGACCAGGAGCTGGAGCACTATTAATAAGAAGGGCCAAAGGTCCTGCAAAACAAACTAGACGTAAACATCCTTCAGGCTGGAGCGATTTCAACCGTAGCATGGCTCACAGGTCCCATCCTCCCTCTTTGATTGAAGATGGAGTTGGGGCATAGATGGGCATAGTGTTTGCGTTTCGCGCGCCTTAATGGTTTTGGAGTTGGGGCAAGTCACGGGCATCGTGCAGATCCACGTACCTCTTGTGTCAATTTTTCTCTGACTGAGGCATTTGGAGCGTTGCGCACTGGCATGTTCGATGGCCATTGACTCCCCAAACCGATCCGAAGCGGATCCCTTGAGCTCGTTGTTTTGCGATGGAAAAGCGCCGCGACGCTTCAAGCTTTCTTGCTGTGCGATAGATTCGCACGAGTTGGCACCGGAGCCGCGTTCCAGGGAGCCTTCTTCTTTGTATGCCGGCGTGGAGCGGTGTGTGGTCTCCCCAGCTTCGAACTTCTTCGCTGGGTGAGGACATGCCCCATGCCGAGGAGCCCAACGTGACCCTGCGCCCTGAGGATGGATCTTCGAGCTCCTCAGGAAGGCTAGCGGCTGGACATGGAGGACTACCACATGGTCCCTTGGGCGGAATGGCAAATGGACCGGACCCCAGGTTGACCTTCGACAGACCTGGCCCACCGGAGTTTGTGAGACCTTTGATGTTTCCAACACCCTTTGGGCACCTACCTCATGACTTCCATGGACCTTCTCTCGGACCTCTACGGCCTCCTGCTGGACCCCCACATGTACCTGAAGGCTTCGTTCCCCAATGGCCTCAACCGGGACACCTTCATGTACATGAAGGCTATGCCCATTACCCCGCACCTCAGAGGGTACCAGACAATGAGGATGACAGCTCATGGCTATGCCTGAATTGCAACAGCCAGGAGCACATGTGGTCCAGCGCACATGAGACATGGAAGTGCAGCCTATGTGGCTGCGATGAATTCTACAAGCCCGACCGACCTAGTCGACTACAAACGGAACATGGGACATGGATGTATATTCCTCACACAGCCTCACCTCCTGCTCACAGAGAGACTCCCTCAGAACACCACACCTCAGGAGCATCTTCATCGACCTCTACGGCGGCTCAACCTCGCCGGCGACGACGCCGTCGTCATCGAGGCGGAAATGACCCTGAACCAGATGATGGTGACGAAGGCCATGAGCCGGGGGAGGAAGAGATACGAACCGATGATCCCTCTGTAGATCCATCCGATGGCGGAAATGAAAGCCAGAGAACCCCGCTACACCCCGGAGTACGACCCGGTGATCCTCTCGGACGGCCCGGACGGCAAGGACCACGGATCATGGGTCGACGACGACTACCTCAAGGTGAAGGTCAGGCCAACAATCCACCAGTTGGCAATGAGAACCAAGATCCAGCAGCTGCTTTCCTTCACGCACTTCAGCGACTTCTCGATGACCGCCGACCTGAAGCTCAACAACGGCCCAATGCACAGAGGTCAAATAGCTCCAGTTCTGATCAAAGCTGGACATCGTTGAAGGGCATGCAACCAGGTGTCAAGTACCGAGGTGGTGCCCCACCTCAACCACCTGCTTGGCACTACACCAGTGGTGATGTCAGAGCCTTTGAGCGCTTTGAGAAGAAGGTGAATGTCTGGGCCCTCCAGGCAAAGCATTACATGAGCAGTGCTGAAGCAGGACTAGCGCTGTACACCTCACTTCGAGGTGATGCAGAAGCTGAGCTCGAGTTCTGCGACATCGAGAAGGTGTACAGCAAGGACGGCGTGCAGTATGTGCTCGACCAACTTAGAGGTCCCTTCCAGGAGAAACCAGTTTACATCAAAAGACAATTTCTTTTTGAGTATGAACAGATTGCACGCTATGCCAATGAGAGTTTGCGCAGCTACACGAACAGATCCAGAAGATGTGAAGCTTCTCTTCGTTCGGTTGGCATCGACGTCTCGCTCACCTACGACCAGGAGAGCAGAGGAAGTAGGTTGTTGGATAGAGCCAAATTGGCCCCAGAAGCTCAAAGGCTTGTGCTCGTTGGCACAGGCCAACGATTGGACTATGACTCCATCAAGAGTGCGCTCCTCATGCAATACCCTGAACATAGAGCTCCGCCTCCCTTGTTTGTTCATGGCCAACAACAGTTCAGACCTGCAGGCAAAGGCCACGGCCATGGCAAAGGAGGAGGCAAACCGTTTGGACAGTCCCAACAAGGCGGACAAGGTTTTGGACAAGCTCGTAAGGGATCTGGCAAGTTCACCAAAAGAGTTCTCCAAACCACCACTGAGGGCGATGACGCCCCAGACCCTGAAGACGACGCCGGTGGCGACGATCTTGGAGTGATTGAGGAGGAGAACCCCGACATCGAGCCAGAAGAGACTTTTGAAGATCAAGATGATCTCCCTCCAGATGACCAAACAGCAGAACCAGAAGGGCAAGAGGAAGTTGACAACCTCACCCAGGTCCTCACCGTGACAGCAAAGAAGCTTGCAGCCATCACTTTAGGCCGCAAATGGACTGGCCAGCCAAGCAAGTCAGTCGCTGAGCGCAAGCGAACAAGCTGCTGTGCGGTTTGTGGTGAAATGGGCCACTGGAGTGGCGACCCTGAATGTCGTGGAGCACCCGATGGAGCTTCTTTCGCAAAAGGCGGCAAGGGCAAGAATTCCTCGAAGGGGAATGGCAAGAGCTCCAAAGGCAGTTCCTCATCGTTCAGCGGAAGCAAAAAGGTGCTGACAGTCTCCTATGGCAATGGGGTGGACCATGAGACCGAGTACCTCCCCGATGACGAACCCTCCAATACCCAGTTTGTCCTCATGAACCACGTCATTCAACCTTGTTTGATAGCTGCCACGGAAGCCAAGGGGTTTATGGTGATTGACACGGCCTGCCAGAGATCGTGTTGTGGTTTTGATTGGTACAAAGAACACGCCCAACTTCTTCGCAGTTCCTTTCACTTGCACCCCTATGAGCTCACACGTGAAGAGATTTTTCAATTTGGTTCAGGTGCTCCAGTCACTGCCAACACCTTGGCCATGCTACCTTCAGCATTCGAAGGTGCGCACTGCTTAGTTTTGGGTACGTTTGTTTTGGATGCGGTGATCCCGTTCCTTGGTAGCCTCAGCATGTTGAACAAGCTCGGAGCGATCATTGATTTGACTCGGCGTGAAGTGTTTTTTAGCAAACTGGATTGTGTGGTGCCCCTCGCAACCGTCGGACGTCATTTGGCAGTGAACATCACCAAGTTTCCTTCACGACCTGATCGGTTGAGAGTTTGGGCAAAGATCACTTCGTGTGGCCTGCATGACCCCGAAGTCAATTTGCCGCCATCTTCAGTTCAGGTTGCTCAAGCCTCAACTTCCGACGAGTCCGAACCTCCTCTAGGACTCCTCTATGCACCTCGGCGACCAGAGGCGTGTGGATCGATGGCGCCATTTGGTGAGCCGCCTCCTCCAGACGGTTCAACAAGCGTGGATGACACTTCACACGGCTTCTCGCCTCAACCTCCTCGCGGACAAGGACGACTCCGAGATCGAGACCAAGGACAGCAAGTCGCCTTTGGGAGCTTCCTCAAAGGCAAAGGCTCGGCCAAAGACCAAGAACAAGCCAGCGACAAGCAATGCGGCCGCAGCCAAGGAGTATCGCCAAAGGCAGATGGAAAGTTGCAGCCACCCGACCTTCAAAC